ACAACACCTGACATCTCTCTCACCTGACAACACCTGACATCTCTCTCACCTGACAACACCTGACATCTCTCTCACCTGACAACAGTACCATCTCATCTCTTCTCCCGCCCCCGTACATAACAAGATTGTTCAGTCCTGTCTTTGGGCAAATTTAAAAGTGTCCTCAAAATCCGGTGGCACCCTCTCCAAAAAAGAAGCCGTTTTGCGAACAGAACTACCCTACTTGTGTGAAAAATAATCAAAGTGAAACTAACAAGTTATTGAATTTATTAGAATCGAAATTTCGGGGAGATACCTTTTTTTAATGGTTACGCTGACAAAAAGCCTCTTTCGTCGTTTAATTTCATTTTACAATGAGAGGCGAGAGGTCGTTAAGTTTTTTTAAACCCAAAACTCCGCACTGGGCGAACCCAAACAGCTGATGAACAAAGGGGTGCTATTCCTACTCTTCTGCAGGAGAAACGAAAGAGAACTTCAAAACCTGACCATCATCATCAATAATTTATTTATAGAGGCACCAGCCATCCATGTCCTGGTGCTGTTTCAGCCAGACCTTCAAAACAGAGACTGCAGCGCCATCTGAAACAATGCGCGAACTTCTGCGGACACTCTTTTGGCTGAGTGAACAATCTTGTATGCACGATCTTTAACTACAGCAACAAGTCATCTCTTCCCCCTCACCTGTGTGCCCTTCGGGATGACATATCCGTCAATGTGGATGTCGTCACGTGCTACTCTCATGTTGCCCAGCGCCAATTGCGACACGTACCTGTGAGAGATTCACGAAAAATCCAACGGGAAAGCTATTAGATCTAGAACCGCGCATTTTAGAAACAAAAGTATCAAAGCTGTGCTGTGCACTTTTTAATGATGCCAATACAATATGATTGTCAATTACCAATACTAAAACAACCCTGCGAGTTAATTCTCCTGTGTTTCACCGGACTTGGTTGAGATATGGCTGTATTGTCATGTTGCAACTCATTACTTATCAGATTAATTTTGGCATACTCATTGCATAATTATGGCTTGATGAAGAAAAATCATCCAATGAAAGACGTAAAATGACGGTTTTGCAAACCAGTTTTATTTTCACAGCACACGAACACACCTCAGTCTTTGCTTTAAAAGACTCACTTTGGTTTTCGCACACTTAATTTTCTGGAAATGGCACCAAGTAATTTTTGTTAAGAAATATGTATCCACTGGATGATAATGACAATCAATTTGTATTGATATCGTTGAAACGTTCGCAGCTCTGATGCATTCCCATCCAACGAGCTTGCAAGCACACACACACACACACACACACACAGACACACACACAC